AAAAAAAAAAAAAAAAAAAAGAAGAAGAAATTCCAAGAGATAAATGATATATTTGGTTACAAAAGGACCAAGAAGAACAAAGTGATACTGTATGTTTTTAAATGGGATATTTGAAAATAATTACATGAACTACTAAAGTAAGGCAAATCTTATGAAATAAAGAAGCATTTATTGTGCATCTGTTTGAATAAGGACATAGGGGGATAGAACATACATATATAGCCCTTGTCATGAAGGAACGTAACATCAAATTAGGAAAATATAGGCCAGCATATGAAAAGTAAAACAATACTGGAGAGATACAACAGTTCCATGAAACAGTGTAACAACAGAGGAAACGTGCCAGGGAATATATTGTGTCTTGTATTCAATGTTCAGACACAGTCCTGGGTTTATAGCCCAGTTTTCATACTTGCTACTTGAGTGATCCTGGGAAAATTAGTCTCTCGGAGCTCTAGGTTCTACCCTTGTAAAAGAAACATAAGAAATACTATATGGCTTTTGGGAGGTATCATAAAATACTATGTCTGGCACGCACGGTGGGGGTCTAGTAAATGTGCGTTTTTTTCCCACTACGTCTGATGTGATATGAAAGGAGAGGGTAGGCGAGAGATTCCTGTTGAGTATGAAGAATGAGCATAATTTAGACAGGTGGAGAAGAATGGGAAGGCGGTCTGGTAGGTGGAATGACGTGGACAAAAGCACAGAAGTAGGAAGGGCAGCCTGGTGAGTCTCTCTTGGCTTCAGCAAAGAGTATGGAGTGGTGGCCGGGTCTTTCTCTGGAGGCCTCAGATCAGCCTACTGACCCCACCATGCTGATAAATAAGGCTGACTCTGCTCACACGCTCTTTGGGGGCTCTTTAGGTGCATTGAGTAAGGGTACAGGATGGTTGGAGTGGAAGGGGGACATTTTATTTCTACTCAAGGGAGGGGAGAAGATGAAAATACTGTAATGTCGTAATTCATAAGTCAATATATTGACAGTAAAATGGTTTAGAAATTAAGTCTTTGGCCACTTTCATAATGAAAAGTCTATACGAATATGAATGTAATAATTGGATGTGGAATCCTCTCAAAATGAGCTGAGAAGTTCTGGTGTTTTAAGGAACTTTCAAAGAAAGTAATTTATATGTACAGTAATCTACTGGCCTTTTCAGTCTACACGAGAGCTGATACTTATCCCAAAGTAAGCGTGTACAAGTTCTTCTTCTGTTTCTTTGGAAACTTGAAACTCAAAAGCCCAATTTTATAACTAATAGAACAGCTTTAGAAAATTCTTGTTGGCTCAGTTCCTATAGCTCAACCGGCTAAGGCGCCAGCCACGTACACCTAAGGTGGCGGGTTTGAATCCCCAGCCCGGACCCGCCAAAACAACAATGACGGCTGCAACCAAAAAATAGCCGGGCATTGTGGTGGGCGCCTGTGGTCCCAGCTACTTGGGAGGCTGAGGCAGGAGACTCGCTTGAGCCCAGGAGTTGGAGGTTGCTGTGAGCTGTAATGCCACGGCACTCTACCCAGGGGGACAGCTTGAGGCTCTGTCTCAAAAAAAAAAAAAAAAAAAAATTTTTTTTTTTTTTTTTTGGCTGGGGCTGGGTTTGAACCCACCACCTCTGGCATATGGGGCTGGCGCCCTACTCCTTTGAACCACAGGCACCACCAAAAATTCTTAATACAAATCAATTCCCATAAGAATATCCCAGTGGGTTTCCTGAGCAAGGCAGCCTCTAATGAGAGCAGGTGTGTGAGCCTGAGAGTATCTGGGCATGATTGGTGATTAAGAAATAAGATGATAAGAAAAACGTATACTAATTTTACCCAATTCCAGGGGAAAAGCTAGCAATTTGTCTGGCACCCAGGGGGGTTCTTCCAGAAGTGGACCCTGAGGTGGAGGGTGGCATGCAAGAGTTGATTAGGGGATTGCTGTGTGCAGAAGGGAGGAAAAGGAGGCAGGGTTGGCCAGAGGGAGACACTGCACTGAGCCTTGAGAGGGAGCCCTAGGGCTGCAATGGCTCTTCAGACTTGTCCCAAGTTAGGGTGCTGGGACTAGACCTTTAAACCTCTGAATCTGCTCATCATTGGATGCAGGCTGCCCCCCGGGAAAGAGGCATGACTTATGGGTGACTCAGCACTGTCTTTTTGTTTAGCAGGTCCTGGCCTCGAACCCACCACCCCTGGTGTACGGGCCGACACTCTAACCATTGAGCTGTGGGCACCCAGCCTGACTTAGCACTGTCCACTAGACCATCCTTGGAAAAAACATGTAGCTACCTGAGTGAGACACGTGTTTACTCTTTCCCTGATTACTAAGACACAACATTCAATGACTTGAACACTAATGAGATCAATAACTACCATTTATCAAGTGTTTATTATGTGCAAGTCTTGTGCTCTGTGAAATACACAGTTTCATTTAATTTTAGAACTCTGTGACATAGGCATTGTTTTCTCTGTGTGTAAATGAAGAAATAGAAGATCAGAGAGGCCATCTTTTCTGGTAGGATTTAAGCTCAGGTCTGACTCCAGTGCTGTTGTGTAAACCCTTAAATTCAACTGGAGCACGCATGGTTTGTTATAATGCTGAGGGTTGCTGGCAAAGACATCTGGTCAGGGAGTACAGGTTTGCATTCACGCCTAATGCACGGTCTCATACATGACGTTTAAACAGGTCTGCTGAGTTGCTCTGGAGAGGCTAACAGTGTTAGCAGGTGATAGCTGCACTACTTTTCAAAGGAAAATGAGGAATAGTTGCTGCTGTTTTGACTATTAAAATCCTTGTTTCATGACAAGAAGACCAGAAGTAGTACAATTAATTAAGTGCCATTCTAAAGCTAATGATGCCCATGGGATTCTGACCAGGGGACACACTTATTATGTGAGAAAACTGAGTCTATTCCACATATTTTCAAATATGTTGCTGATTGACATTATAAGCAGAATATTAGACTAGAATAAAGGCACTTTCAATAACCAAAAGGTAATGTGCATTTACTGCATAAAATCATGGGGGTCTCTTTGGCTCATGCAACAGGTTTCCTAATCTTTAGGATAAAAATGACAATTGTCGTTTGCTGGTTTGTTTCTATCTCTTTAGGTCTCTTTACATCAATCTTCTGGGACTCTGGACAATCCTCACTTGCTCAGTGTTTTGTGGGCTCGCCCTGTATTCCAGGTACCATGACTGTGATCCTTGGACAGCCAAGAAAGTGTCTGCCTTAGACCAGGTTCAGTATCTTATCTTTCTTTCATGTGCATCAATGACATTCAAAAACCTTCTTAGTGCAGCTCGGTGCCTGTAGCATCGTGGTTGTGGCACCAGCCACATACACCAAGGGTTTGAACCTGGTCCTGGCCAGCTAAGCAACTGCAACAACAAAAATAAAGCCAGGTGTTGTGGTGGGCACCTCTGTAGAGTGCTTGGCATCACAGCTCACAGCAACCTCAAACACTTGGGCTTAAGTGATTCTCTTCCCTCAGCCTCCCAAGTGGCTGGGATCACAGGCATGTCTTCCAGTTTTTAAATGATGTTGAAATGGATCTAATAAGTTTATTGAGTAATGAACTTATTGAGTTTATTAAGAACTATGTAATAAGATTCTATGCCAAGAGCTTTACATGCTTCATTTCATTCTCACAACCCTGCGATCCTAATTTTATAGGTGAGGAAATGAATCTCAGAGAGGTCATACAACTTGCTAATACAGAAGAGTAACCATGAGCACTTACCAAATACTGACCACAAGCAAGTGCTACCATGAGTGCTTTACGTATATTTCAACTTTTAATTCTCACAGCCACCCTCTGACATAGATACGATGATTAGATTCCTTTCAAAGATGATTATTTCTGAGGCACGGAGAAGTTAGGTAAGCAACCAGTTGGTAAATCTGGAGCCTGGATTCAAACCCAGTCAAGTTGCCACCTGCATCCTAACTTTGAACTTTTGTGCCCTATATCATCTATATAGCTAAAGGGTGGTGCCTGTGGCTCAAAGGAGCAGGGAGCTGGCCCCATATATATACTGGAGGTGGCAGGTTCAAACCTAGCTCCGGCCAAAGACTGCCAAAAAAAAAAAAAAAAAAAAAAAAAAAAAAAATATATATATATATAAAATTCAAACTCAGGACAGCCTGACTCCAAAGCCTGAGTTCTTGCCAAAATCATTATCTAAGACTTCCTTGTAAATCAAGCATGCAGAGGACCCATTAGAATGAGGATAGGTTTAATATCATGTTGGTGCAGATACATCATCTACTTTCCAAAAAATACGTCTTTGTTGGATTAGAAAATGACAACACCCTTGAGCCTGAGCGGTGTGCCTCCACCCTGTCTTAACCTGTGCACTCTTTTTAATCAACACACACTTCCTGTTCTCTCAGAGAACCCGAGAACCCCATTGACTATGAGGAGAGAGGCCCTCTTCTGCTGTATTACCTCTCATCAAGAATATTTTGTGATTTTTAAGAAATTTCTAATATGGTTTCCCTTTACCCCAGGCAAAAACCAAAACAAAGCCGAAAACACCCAAAGAAAACAAACAAAAAACCAGTTCCTGGCTGGGTGCAGAGGATCAGCCTGTAATCCCAGCACTCTGGAGCCCGGGGGTTGGGGGGCTGGGGGGTGGATTGTTTGAGCTCAGGACCAGCCTGAACAAGAGCAGTTCCTTATTTTTCTTTTCTCCTTTCTATTGTAAGGACCCAGCTCTAAAACACAGAAAAGCTAGCAGGGTGTTGTGGCCCATGCCTGCAGTCCCAACTACTTGGGAGGCTGAGGCAAGAGAATCACTTGAACCCAAGAGTTTTAAAGTGGCTATGAGCTATGACACCAGGACTCGCAACCCCAGGGCGACTGAGTGAGACTCTGTCTCAAAAACAAACAAACCAACCAGTGGCTGCAATTTCATAATTCTTTTTGTCTTTGAGATTTCTTGTCATAGCATATGTTCAGGTGTCTTGCTTGAATAATCTTAGAGTCTATGCTATGACTTCTGTCTAACTGGCTGTTTCTAGGACTGCGGTAGAGTTAATTCACTTCCCATTCCACCGCAGAGACAGTGCAAAGAAGGCAGTTCCAGATCATGTGACAATCTCGTCCACAGGAGAGCAAAGGTGTGTCTCTGCGACACTTTGCTGAATTCACTCTGAGGCAGCGGCTCGGTCTTGGTGCCTACATCTGATTTTACAGTTTTCCTATGTATAAATCTTGTCTCATTGATTTGACCTGTACTTGAGGGAACCACTCAGATGTGAAATCATCACAGTGGAGATTTTTGAGAAAGAGGATGACAAGGTAAAGGATTTTGGACCTTGGCATAACCACTATTGGTAGAAACTTTACTTTTGCTTATGTGTGGAATATTATTTAATTTTTTTTGATATATTGGAAACACTGCGTTTTGATCTCATACAGGGTAAGAGCTATTCTATTTTTTTGAGAACAAAGATTTAGCAAGCTTTGGAGAAAATGGAGAAAACATTCTTGAAAACAAACTCTTTTGACGGTGGAGGGAATGCTTTCATTTCCCGTCAATAGGCTATTGTTAAATGAAATTGAAGAGGCTGCGGGCAGGTCATCCGCTCTGCACCCTGGGAGAAGTAATCAATAAGGTTTCAATGCAAATGAAATCTTCTGGAAAATTGTCTCTAAGGACTCCTTTGATTCAGAAATTGATTTTGCAAAAAGCCTGCCATGCAACATAGTCCTGAATTTACACACCTAACTGCATTTAATATTTATTTTAAAAATGTAAGTTATCAAAAAGCAGATTGGTATCAGGAATTTTGTTTTATTTTATGTTATATATTTTTTGAGACAGAGTCTGACTCTGTCACCCGTGGGTAGAGTGCTGTGGCTTTGTAGCTCACAGCAACCTCAGACTCCTGGGCTCAAGTGATCCTCTTGCTTCAGCCTCCCAAATAGCTGGGACGACAGGCGCCTGCCACAACGCCTGGCCAGTTTTTTCTATTTTCAGTAATGATGGAGTCTCACTCTTACTCGGGCTCATCTTGAACTCCTGAGCTCAGGCAATTCACCGGCTTCGGCTTCCCACAATGCTAGGATTACAGGCACGAGCCACCCCACCAGGCCGGTATAAGAAACTTTTTTAAAGGCAGCAAGTTTCAGGGACTTCCTGAGGTCACTCTCCATTCATCCCTATGTCTCATACTATTAATATATGCAGCTCACATTACAGCTTCAGTCCTGGGCAGTAACTGAAGTTCACAAAATGGCCTTGAGTCATGAAGGGTAGTGGATGCTGCTTACATAAGCATAGAGGTGTTTAAACTATCTTCTTAAACATGGCTGTACTCTTCAGCCATGAAGAAGGATGACTTAATGCCTTTGGAGTAATCTGGTTGGAACTGGAGACCATTATCCTAAGTGAAGTATCTTAAGAATGGAAAAACAGACACCACACGTACTCACTGTTAAATTGGAAGTAACCGACGAGCACCCATGAGCACAGAGGGAGGTAAAGTCAGTGGAAATCAAACATGGGGGAGGAGGCAGGAGGGGCTGGGTGCAAACCTGCCTAATGAGTACGATGAATATTATCTGGGTGATGGGAACCCTTATAATGCCGACTTAAGCATTATAAAAGACTCATATAACCCCAAACATTTGTAAGCCCATAATACTTCAAAATAAAAAAGGGGCTTTGTATTGTACATTTATATTCCATATACAATACCAAAAGCTTGATGTAGATGATACCATAGCAGCTCTGTGAAGTTGGAAATATTATCACTATTTTATTGTGAAGGAAACAGAGGCTCAGAGAAATTATGTAACAAAGCCCGATCTGTCTGAATCCAACATCTGTTTATTTAACTACCGAGCTATTTGTTTTCCTTAAGTGTTGCCAGTTAAAGAGTTTCATTTTAGATATTTGGAAATTTCAGTTGTGTGGAATAGCGCCTTTCAGTGCCTGAAGAACCCAAGCTAAGTGAGGCATTAATTAATTTTATTCGGCAGCACATAACAGGAGTGCATTTTGGAATTTTTCAGCTCATGCCTTATTTGGTAATGGACATTCTGCGAGATTATCCGGGACTTCCTGGACTTTTTGTGGCCTGTGCGTACAGTGGGACATTAAGGTATGGAATGTGACTCAAATAACACATGGTTTGGGGAATCTTTCTTTTATTATTAGATACTTTGGGGGATACAGTGGAATTCTGGGCATGGGCAGAAGTGGCCCCAAGTAGGCAGTCTGCTCATGGTGACCTCTGTCAATCTGACTCTTATCTCTGTGACTAGCATCCTGGTGTCATCATGCTCCACTTTTAACTTCTGTCTCATACACCGTCGTATATTCTATAGTGTCACAGTCATGATGATCAGTTGATCGTGGCTTTCACTGTTTATCAAAAGTGGGTGTCAATGGCCTTGGTTTAAAACATGCCTGTGGCTAAAACACCGTCAACTGGAACATCAGAATTAAATATTCCATTTACATGTTGACTAGTACACACTGCCCAAGGATTCTTGTGTTTTGTGATTGAACTTATTCACTGCAGTTTCTTCTTGGCTTCACACCAGAGAATCATTATCAACATGTGCAGAAAATATTAGGAAGGATTCAGGAAACTAACATTGTTGATATTTATGATACCTGTTAATGGGGGTCTTTCAACACTCCTACACACACACAAATATGGATTAAAGTTGTTGTATATAGTAATACTGAGTAATCTATGTAGATTCTTTTCATAGATGCTGAGGATTAAATGCCAAATGGAGGCAACATTAATATATCCTTTCTCTTTTATTGAAATCAATCCAGTTGCTGTTGCCTGAATCATTCTAGAACGATAACAGATTCCAGAAGGAGAGGCTGTGATCATTAAAAATAACATTGTAGAAATCTGGTTATATTTTGGAAGTGACAATTTGTTTCCTCCGTTTCTCACCCTGAAGTCTTGTTAAAGGTAACATAGTATACATCAAAGGTTGTCATTTCCCTTACAGCACAGTGTCCTCCAGTATTAATGCCTTAGCAGCAGTAACAGTGGAAGACGTGATAAAACTACGCTTCCGATCGCTCTCAGAAAGGTCTCTGTCTTGGATTTCCCAAGGAATGAGTAAGTTTCTGTTTTGACCATTCCCGTTTAACTCAGAGAGGTGATGTTTCTCTGAGACACCACCCATTGTTTTCCACTGAAGACACAGGATAAGAACATCTGAGTACGAATACAAACCCTCCGATGTGCTTTGACTTACTGTGGACACAGTCATGTTATCATATTATCAGTGTCAAGATTTGGGAGACCCTTCAAACCATGACTTGTCAGTGGATCACAGGATAATTTCCAGGCGGTCCCATTTGACTGCTCTTCTTTCTTAGTCTTTGTATCCCAAATTTATGGTAAAATTCTTAGTTTCAACTCTTTTCTTTCTAAACTTGAGGCCACAGCTCTAAGAAGTATCCTTAGTTTGGAACCAAGAGCCACACTTGTTCTGTATGTCAGTTTCAGGCACGAGGTCTGTATGTATGAATTGAAGATAAAAGAAGGCGTGTTCTCTTTGGCTCATCTCGATTGTCATGTATACTGTCGTGGTGATCATCTATAAATCTGTGCCAGAAATTCTCAACTGCTAGTCTTAGAACCTTACTAGGGGTTAAATACCAGCTTGAATGGAAAGGCTTAAAGATCTCCAGTCCTCAGATGTCTCAAGCGTAATATCCAGCTCAAAGACATCTTGCCACTATACATCCTTCTTCATTTGGAATGAATAACTGACAAATTTGTTTTTTAAAACAGAATCTTCAGCCTCAACACAATAACACTAATGGACTGTCAAAGAAATTGTAAATGATTCTCTGTTTAGAGACATAATTTTACAGCGTATATGATTGCCAGGATTGTAGCCTGGAATACGTACTTACTGTATTTTGCTGTGTAAAGTGTGCTCCCGTGTGTAATGTGCACCCACGTTTTTTGCCCAAACTTTCAGGAAAACACTCCTCGAGAAAGTGGCCAACTCTTGGGCAGAGAGACACACCTGGGGAGGATGAAATTTCCCTGGGCAAAGGTGCAGGTCACGCTGCCCTCTGGCTGCTGCTGCTCACTCTGTGAATTCTGCCCCTTCCCTGTCTCCCAGAAAGCCCTTCCCTACCCACCTTGTGGGAGGCCATAGCCCAGATGCCCATGTGCATGGTCAGTGGATGAGAGTTTCTGAGGCCTCTTGCCCCATAGGCAGCCAGGTTGATGCTTGAGATCCCTGTGGAGCTCCTTGTCCCCTCCACACAACTGGGCCTTGGACCTCGGCCCTCACCCCACGTAGCTGCAGCCCACCTGGCCAGCTCCGCCACTGCCCCCTCCCCGATCGCAGTGCTCAGCAGAGGCCACTCCAGCCTGCTCCTAGTGGATTCTAGATCCTCCCAGACTGGAGTCCTGTGAGCCTGGCAGGTCCAGGTGGGGGGGTTGTAGTGGCCCCCAGAGACCCACTGGGCTTACCTGTTCCCTAGCCAATACCAGCCATGTATAATAACACATCCTTATTTTTCCCTCAAAAAATTTGGGCAAAAAGTGTGCTTTATACACAGCAACATACAGCAATTTACGTTTTTAGATGTTCCCTAAATTTAAATAGCAATCCATCATTTCGTTATGTACCAAATTTTAATCCTGGGGTATAATTTCCGAATAATACAATGCTTCCTAAAGAGTACTGAGACTGGTTCATTATGGAATTTTTGAAAATGTGTGGTTTTGAAGCCAGATGGGCTCAATCTTGCTTCATCAATTTACTACCCGTTAACCTTGAGGAAATCCAGGGATCTCTATGGGCCTCTATTTCTTCATATGGAAAATGGGCACAAAAATACTTGCAGAGTTACTAGGAGGACTTGAGATAATGTGCATAAAAAAAATTCCATGCCTGGTGCTTGTGGAATCATGTTGATGAATGACAGTTCAACTCAGGGAATACAGATGAGATTTTCATTTGTTTTGAAGGGTACTATGATGGCATATTCTTGAGGTATATGGCAGGTGATTTGACTATGTTTCCAATAACTCTGAATACCAAAACCCATAATGGGGACTGACCATGGTTTATCAAATGGGTAAGAATCAAGCTACATAAGCTGGAAATACTATTTCTATTAGGATTGAGAGACATAAAAAGCATTGCAACAAGAGCGCTTAAAAGAAAAAGTCATTCTTAGATTTTTCCTTCAGGTGCAATGAGATTATTTACCCAATATATTTAACAAAGGTAGGAACACTAGTATAAGTCAGATAGAAATAGCATAGTGTAAGGAATGTAATAATTTTATAAGCAGATTTCCCATTCTTTTTTTCCAGCATTTGGAATTCTAAATGTGGGAAATTATACCTTGACTGATTTCAGGTGACTTTGCTAAAGGGAACTCTAAAATTAAAGGGTATTTTTGCAAAACATTTCCTTTAATTTTAAAAGCAATGCATGTTCCTGGAGAAAATGTGGAAAATATGGAAAATCAAAAGAGGAAGGAAAAAAATATCATAATCTGACCACCCACGGTGGCTTGAGAATTTCTTTCTTTCTTTTGAGACAGAGTCTCACTGTGTTGCCCTCAGTAGAGTGCTGTGGTGTCACAGCTCACAGCAACCTCAAACTCTCAGGCTCACGCGATTCTCTGCTTCAACCTCCCAAGTAGCTGGGACTATAGGTGCCTGCCACAACGCCCGGCTATTTTTTGGTTGCAATTGTCACTGTTGTTTAGCTGGCCCAGGCCAGGTTCGAACCTGCCACGCCCTAGCCACTGAGCCACTGAGCTACAGGCACCGCCCAGCTTGAGAATTTCTGTAGAGAAGTTCAGGGGAGACACCAAGGCAGAAGGGGGAATGTGAAGGATGCTCCTGAAGTTGCCTTTCTGTGCCAGTTTAATAGGAAAGGCTTGGCAGTGTTTATGGAGAGATGAGGGGCTGGCCCCTTGGTATCGATTGCCACTTCCCGGAGAAATGAAGGCTTAAAGTCAGAAGACTCTAATTTCTAACTTGTATTACTTACCTCTTCTGCCTCGTTGAATAGAGCAGGGCTGAAATGTGTGCTATTTTTGGCAGGTTGAAAAGAGAAACCTGAGTTTTCCCTTATATCCAAGCGCTACGGAGGATTAGATTAATTACACACTATAGTACTTAGTTTTGAAATCCCTACAGGTCTTTACTTATATAACCTGCTCTTGTAACTAATCCTGGGACACAATGTCTGTCGCTGCCCCCTGCTGATCCTGTAGGACCAGACCCTTTCTTCTTTTTGCTGGTTCTGATGTACGTGGCCATTCTTCACCAAAGTCATAGTAATTCACTTTGAGTCAAAGGTGCAGTGGCTTATTCTATAGAGCGTTCTAAATCTCTGGTCTAGATCTCACGCTGGCTTGTGCGTCTCCCATCTAGGCGTGTTGTTTGGAGTCCTGTGTATCGGAATGGCCGCGCTGGCATCGGTGATGGGCGCTTTGTTACAGGTAAGAGCCGACTCCTGGAGGTTTAAATCACGATCACTCCATTTGTTTGTTTGTTTTTCTTACTGTTGATGTGACCCTCCTTCCAGACTTCTCTCAATAGATATACACACATAGACATCAAGAGGCAGGGATGACTCTACTCTATACAATTTTTAAAATTAAACTTTCTGTTTAGAGGTCATTGTAGCTTTGCGTGCAACGAGAAGAAATACTACAGAGAGATCCCTTTTATCTTTTACTCAGTTTTCTTGAGAAAACATCTTGCAATAATGATAACATCTTGATGGCACACTGTCACAACCTGGATATTGTCATCGAAACCAGCCAGATACAGATCATCTCCATCACCACAAGGACCCCTCCTTCTGTCTTTTGTAGCCCCACTCACCTTCCTCCTGCCTCCTACTCCCTCCTTAAACCCTGGCAACCACTGCTTTCCAGTTCCCCAATTTCCTCAAGTCAAGAATGTTACATACATAGACTCATGTAGCATGTCACCTTCTCAGGTGACAGTATAATTCCCTGGACGTTCACCCAGGTTGCCTCATGTATCAGTAGTTCCTTTTCATTATTTGATAGTATTCTCTGGTAGGGATGCACACAGTCTGGTAACAACGTACCTGATGAAGGACATTTGGATTGTTTCCAGTTGGGAACTATTAATAATAAAGCTGCTACAAACAATTGTGTGCAGGTTTTTGTGTGAGCACAAGTCTCCATTTCTCGGGGATAAATGCCCAGGAGTGCAGCTGTTAGCTGGTAGCTAAACGTTTCCTTTTTTTTTTTTTTTTTTTTAATTGCCAATCTCTTTTCCAGAGTTTACTGTATCAATTTTACATCAGTAGCATGCATACCTGGCCCAACTTCTCCTTGTTATTTTTGGCCTTTTAGTGATGTCAGTGTTTTTTATATTAGCCATTCTGACAGGTGTATAGTAATATCTCATTGTGGGTTTTATTTGCATTTCCCCAAAGGCTAATGAGGTTGAATATTTTTTTCCAGGTATTTATTTGTTATTGGCATATATTTTTCCATAAAATGTCTATATACCACTTCTTGGTCAGGTGTAGTTTTCAAACATTTTGTCCCTGTAGCTTATCTTTTTATCTTCTGAACAGTGTATTAAACACAGCAAAGAGTCTTAGCTGCAACGAAGTCCAGTTAATCCATTTGTCTTTTTAAGGATTGTGCTTTAGTATAGAGTTTAAGAATGTCACCCTAGCCCCAGATCTTGAAGATTCTCTCCTGTGTTTGTTTTTAACATGTTTAAGAGTTTTATGTTTTATATTTAAGTTCAAAATCCATTTGGAATTCATTTCCATAAAAGGTGTGGGACTTTCATCAATGTTCTGTCTTTCCCTCTGGATTTCCAACCTGCATCATTTGTTAAAAGTTTATCATTTTTCCATTGAATTGCTTTTGCATCTTTGTCAAAAATCAGCGGAATGGTGCAAGCTGACCCAGAAATTTCCAACACTGGCCCAGGGATTACCAGGGGACAAGGCCACCTCAGCCCAGATGCAATTTTCATAAACCTTAGAGCAAAGCTAATCCTTAATGATAATAATTTAAATCCCTTTATGAGAGAAACATGTTATAACTGATCTGGACTGATGCTTGGTATAAGAAAGGGGGAAGAAAGAAAAAAAGCAGAAAGGGAGAAGGACTTCTAAGACTCAGAGAATGATGCTGAATGAAGATCCTCATTATCTGTTGGTCATCCTACTGGACTGTTTGCAGCCCATGGCACCAGCCTTCTCCCACTACGTAAGAGTGTTGCCAGGGTGAACTGCTTAAGTATCAGACGGTGTCAAAGACTCATCTTTGATATGAAGTGAAACATAGGGGAGAAGTTGTCCCTGGGGAAGCTGGTTAACTAGGACCACCCTAAACCCTAAAACACAACAGGACATCTCTATTGACCCTGTGCTGGGCGCGGCTTTGTTACTACTGGGTCATAGGGAAAGTCCTCATCCTCCACTAGACCTCACCCAATGGGGCAAAGGGGTGGTGCTTCATTACAGGGTGGAATCTAGTCCCCCAGCGTGGCCTTTGCTGCATGCGTTTCTGTGGGGCAACAGCTTATTTGTGGAATTTGGGTAGAATGGGGCAGGTGTTGCCTATCTTTCTAGGTGGCTCCTTTTCTGAAACTGTGTCTAGAAAGAACAGGCTTTTGTTGGGGATATTTATTTATTTATTTATTTATTGTCTGTGCCTGTCGCCTTTTCTGGGAAGGCTGGCTTCTTCAGCTCTAAGACTAAGATACACAAAGAATGAAGAAAACTCAGAGAACTCACCACCGTGTCCCTCTTCCAGTCCCAAGGGCCCTTATCAGTCTCCCTTCTCTCTACTGTTCCAAGTTTCTTATGTTAATTTTATATGTAACGCCTAGGATTTTAGTTTTATTAGCAGCAGCAATGGAGAAAGGTATGTCAACCTTTGGGGTACATCTTCACAGAAGTACCCATGTCTAAATTCTAAAGTTTTGTGGGCATGTATTTTTTACCTGAAAGATCCTATATCTCCTAGCTATGGATTTGGCTAGCTTATTTTATCAGAAGAGCATTTTTGCATTGGGAAGCTCCCTCCTGCTTTTGGAGAGGTGTGGAGTTGGGAAGGCCAGACTGATCTTCAGAATAGCTTCTTCTTTCTGAACCTTGGACTCACATCACTGTCTCTAACATGAAGACCTCAGCAGAGACACCTCCCCCTGCCTGGAGAGCCTTTCCATCTACCTCTTCCAATTTCCTAGGCCTTATATGTTCTTTAACTTTCACCTTAAACATTACTTACTCAAGAGACCTTTTCTGTTACCTGGATACTTTTGAGTTCTCTTCTGCTAAATGTTTCCAGAACACCTTATACTTAAAAAAAATATATCTCTATTATCATACTTTATTGCAGTCATTTATTTAATGTCTATTTTACTAAATGGCCTGCAATGTCATGGTGGCGAGATGACATTGTTGTTCAATCCTGTATCGAACATCTGGTGTCTACTGCCGTACCCAGGACAAAGTAGGCACTTAACCAATTTAGCTTAAATGTACCTGTTTATGTGTTGGTTCATAAACATCTGCTTATCTGATCACCCCAACCACCTCAAGTACTCCTTGAAATTTCTTGGGCCACTTGGGCTTCTGCTCTGGAACTCTTGGACCTCCCCCTGATTCAGAAACTTAAACATTAGTGCTGATCTAAAGCAGGGGTTCTCAGGATCCTGCTTCAGTCCTAAGGTTTGGGTCCATTCTGGCTGCTTGTTGAGGAGGGCACACCAGTCGTTAAAATAACTTGATCTTAGCTCGGTGCCTGTAGCTCAGTGGCTAGGGCACCAGCCACATATGCCAGATGGAGCTGGTGGATTCAAATCCAGCCTGGGCCTGCCAAACAACAATGACAAATACAACCAAAAAATAGCCAGGCATTGTGGCAGGTACCTGTAGTCCCAGCTACTTGAGCAAAAGAATGGCTTAAGCCCAAGAGTTTGAGGTTTCTGTGAGCTGTGATGTGACAGCACTCTACTGAGGGTGGCAACATAGTGAGACTCTTGTCTCAAAAAAAAAAGCTTGATCTCATCCCTGATTCCATGAATGAGTAAATTAGGTCTAAAATCTCCAGGTTTACCCAGTCCAGTACACCTAAGCCATAACCAATAAAACTGACTGAGTGTGCTTCTCTCCCTGTCTGTGGTGTTGCCTGGAGCTCTCTTTGTGGTTGACTCCCCTTTGTTCATATGTCAGCTCTGGCCTGATCAAATGCAATGGGATATTCTAGCAGATTCTTTATAACCCCAAGCCAGTTCTTCCTTGCTTTGTCTCTAACTGAGATCCTCTTTCCTCTGAAATGGTCCCTCTTGAGTGTCTTCCTTACAACTCCAAAACTGGCCAGGGTTATAGATCACAGATCTCACCATCCTAACTTGCTTCATGGACCACGTGACTTATTTTGCATTCTACAGTGGAGTCCATCCCCCCTCCTACTGGACTGTGCTGTGAACTGACTCAGGATCACATCCTTCAGTCCACATCCCCTCAAACATTAGTCCATCTCTCTCCTCATTTCCTCAGTACCACACTCCTTCTCCAGGAGGTAGGATTTTTGACATTTTTAAACCAAGGACTGAAATCTATACCCTTTAACATTTCCTTGTCTTGATATTCCCTCTTTGATTCATTCATTCTGTTCTACTAAGCTCCATTCCTCTGTGGGCAAACCTGTGATTCCCTGATACTTCTTTCATGGTTCTGTCCATTCTTAAAAACTAGGTGTTCGATGATTGGGAACACTCATCTCTTGGAAGCTTCAGTTGCTTGCCTTTCCCTATGCTTTGGATTATAAGCATTTTCCACTATTATAATTTTGGCATCTCTGTATCAAAGCACAGGTTGTGATTATCCAATTAGATTTTAAATCTATTTTATACTAGTTGATCAATTTTTTTTTTCTTGAAGGAACAGATGGACACTTGAGAGGGAGAAGCAGAAGCTTCCAAGTTGTAATGACCTCTTGGCCAAAGACAAGACTGCCATGAATAAAACTCTGATTTTCAGGAGGAGCCTGAATACTTTAACTCCTCATCCTAATGAAATTACTTTGAAATATTTTGTTTGGATGTGCGCTCGCTAATTGCTGACTTCCTGTTATTTTTGTAGGCGGCCCTCAGCATATTTGGCATGATTGGCGGACCACTTCTGGGCATGTTTTCTTTGGGCATTTTGGTTCCCTTTGCCAACTCAATTGTAAGTATAAAGGACGAACACATGTGACTTTCCCAAATGGAGCAGCAGCTCTGGCTTTTTTCTAAGTTGTACAAATGTTGTTCCTCTTGTATCTATCCTTAGAGACCTGTCTTGATGACTTACATCACCCATATTGGCTTTTGATGGAGTATTCTGCACATGTGAAGCTAAATGGGACCTGCTAGAATCATACAGTGCAATTTAAAATATAATATTAACTAAAGGAGCAATGTATTTTATGTACTTATTTTCTTCCCCTTCTTATAAATTAATAGTTGGGATTTAACGAATTAGATCAACAGGCTCAGATATGTAAGATTTAAGAACAATAAAGCTGAGAATTCTTGTGAATAGTCATAGCAGAGCAAAAATGCTGGGCATGGTGGCGCATGCCTATAATCTTACCTACTTGGTAGGCTGAGGTGGGCAGATCACTCGAGGCCAGGAGTTCAAGAGCAGTCTGAGCAACATAGAGAGGCCTCTAAGCAAAAGAAGAAAAAAAAATTAGCTGAGTGTAGTGGCATCTATCTGTAGTCCCAGCCACTTGGAAGGATAAGGTGAGAGGATCCCTTAAGCCCAAGAGGTTGAGCCTTCAGTGAACTATGGTCATCCCGCTGCACTCCAGCCTGGACAAAGAGTGAGACCTCATCTCTTAAAAACAAACAAACAAACAAAAAACAGGCTTGTCATGACCCACTGGGCTCCTATGGCCCTGGTCTCGGTTACCTGCAGGAAGGAATCAGGCGAGAGGCGGATTAGAAGTGCAAGCTTGTGGGAGACGGACTAGCCCTCACTTTCCAGGTAACCCTGAGCAACCTCCGCACCAGCCTTTTATTGAGACCATACAACACAGATGAGGGGAGTAATTAACAAATGACTACGTGCTGGAGGCTCGGGCTCTTCTTCCACAAGGAGCACCTGCGGACGAATGGCCTGAGGTCCACTCCTCAGCTGCAGATCATCTTGCTAAGATGTCATCTGGTTCTTGGCGTCCCCTACAGGCTCAGCAGCTGAAGCACAGTGGTTACAGCACCAACCACATACATTGAAGCTGGCAGGTTTGAACCCAGCCCGGGCCTGCTAAAACAACAATGGCAACTGCAACAACAACAACAACAACAAAATAACTGGGCATTGTGGTGGGCGCCTGTAGTCCCAGCTACTTGGGAGGCTGAGGCAAGAGAATTGCTTAAGTCCAAGAGTTTGAGGTTGCTGTGAGCTGTGATGCCACGGCACTCTACCCAGGGTGACATAGTGAGACTCTGTTTCAAAAACAAAACAAGGCAAAACTAAACTAAACTGAACTTAAACAAACAAACAAACAAAGAACAGCAAAGAGAAGCAATAAGATCTTTACCACTTTGGCCAGAAAGTTTCTACTCTTGAAATTTAAAGTTGTAGCTTCCACCACATGTTTTAGCCCCAAAGCGGTGATCATAACTGGGAATATAATCCAGAAAGAGGTAATGTCTCTGTCCTGTAGAGACATATCTGGGCTTAGAAGTACTCAATTTTGTTTGGAGCAAGTGATAAATAAATTATTTCTCTGAAATCCAAGAGAAACTCCACAGTCCTGTTACAAGATGAAGTTCCAAAAAAACTGGTAATGCTTGTACAGTTGTTTTAGACAGGTGCAGAATAACCACAGAACTACGGTTTCACATTCAGAATTCCCTTTTCCCATAAGGCGTTAGGAACTGGGAAGGCGGGGACTAATAAGGGCTATTGGGGTTCTTATTACTAACAAGTCTTAATGAAGCATCATATGAAAATGAGCTTGGTAGAAATTAATCACGATGAAAGGGACTTGTTTGTGTTCACCTCAGAGTGTTGAAGCTTTGATTAGGCTCTTTATATGATGAAATATGTGGTGTTTCTGAAACATATGTGGAGTATCTGAAAAACTAGAAAAAGATCAGCTTTTGGTTTTTGCTATTTGTTGTTATCAGGAATTGCCTTCAGAGGAGGCCTAGTTGCGTAAGTCCAACATGCCCTGTTTAGTGGAGAAAGAGGCACAATTATTCCTGCCCTAGGAAGTGCCTCTTTTTAAAATCATAACCAAGTTTTCAGCCAAGAGATTTTCTACTGTCCCTTGGAGTCACCTTCTAGCCTCCTTTTCCCCCTCCCTTCCTCCCTTTCATTCATTCATTCATTTCTTCATGTATTGATAAGGATTTTGGGGCTTGTTTCTGCCCTCGTGGGTTTTATAATTTGGTGGATCCTTGATGAAGCCTTGTATGGTGCTGAGAGTGAGCTAAATCTGGCCTGTCAAGAGCTCACCGCCTATTGCTCCAAGCTCATATTATTTAAAAACATTCATTGTCTTCCTGCTATATATCCAGAACTGTGCTCCGTGCTGGGGTACCAAAAATAAAGACCCTACTTCTGCTCTTAAGGAGTTCACAGCTTACGAAAGAGCTCGCAGTCCTCATGCCCCAGAGAAATCCCTGCTCTGGCCGGCATCCTTCCTGCTGTCTCATCAACACACCGTTCTTTTCTTTCTTCCTGGTGGTTTCATCGCTATCTTCCCATTTACCTGAAATATCCTCTTTCCTGAGGCTTGGGCGGCCCTGTCTGAGTGACCATTATTACAAAAGCAACAGGGGGAATTTCACCATGGAGGGAGGCACTTCCCAACTCAAGGTTTGCCTTTATCCCCATGATTTGGAACCAGGGCCTCCATCATTCAGGGTTGGCAGAACAGTTGGGCTATTGGTGAACAGCGTGTGTGTGTGGAGGGGGGGGGACTGAGTCTTCCAAAGACTGAGAAACCAACAGTCTCCAGAGGGGACAAGTGGCCAAGTAAGTCCCCCCCCACCTCCATCTCCATTTGTCCCTAGAGACACCCGTCTGGAGGGTGCACTATCACAGTCATTGTAAAAAGTACTAGTCTTCCCCAATTGTCCTGCATCACAGGCAGGGTCACACATGCTGTTAACCAGAGGGATGAACCCCGAGTCTGTTTTTGTGTTCATCGTCTGATGCTCATACAGATGCCATTTGTTCCCAGATTAAATATGAATAGAGGGATCGATTGGCCTGGAGTCTGCTATGCACCTATTGTAACTTTTAGGATATGAAGAGATGAGGCCAAAGCATAGCGCTGGCCATGGAAACAGTGTAAGGATTCCAAGTAGGAGACATTTGAAAAGAAAAATGGACAGGAGGTGGTAATTGACTAGATAGGAAAAGGAAATGGAGTCAGAGTCTCCAGGGCTCTGGGTGATCTGAAATGAGCCTCTGAAATGACCAGAGGCAGAGACCTTGCAGGGGAGAGTCCTTGCGGGAGGGGAGCGGTCAGTTTGGCTTGGACCATGTTGAACTTTCGAAAGTCAATTTCCGGCTCAGAGCAAATCATTATTTTCCTATAAAAGCACTCTTGTCTTGCAGGGAGCACTTGCCGGTCTGATGTCTGGATTTGCCGTTTCTCTCTGGGTTGGAATCGGAGCTCAGCTTTACCCTCCATGCTCCGAGAGAATGCTGGTCTTACACCTTGAAACCTACGGCTGCAACAGCTCATCCAACGGGACGAGTTGGGTGACAGCCACAGAGATGCCAGTGTCTACCAGTGCTTTTCAAATCCACAACGTTGAAAGGTACTGAACTAAGTTTCATAATACTCCTATTTTTTAAAATGTATGCTATAGGCAGAGAACCATTTGCCTTTGACACTGGGATTTTGCCTAATTCTGAAATGGGTAGAATTTATGTGGCTAGCTAGAATATTTTCTTCAACAATAGCAAAAACAATTATATGTATTTTCTTTCTTTCTTTCTCTCTCTCTCTTTTTTTTTTTTTATTAAATCATAGCTGTGTACATTAATGCAGTCATGGGGTACAATGTGCTGGTTTTACATACAATTTGAAATGCTTTCATCAAACTGGTCAACATAGCCTTCATGGCATTTTCTTAGTTATTGTGTTAAGACATTTATATTCTACACCTAGTAAATTTCACATGTACCCTTGTAAGATGCACCGTAGTTGTGTTCCCACCAATTACCCTCCCTCCACCCATCCTCTCCCATCCCCTCCCCTTCCTCTCCCCTTTCCCCATCTTCCCAGGCTATAATTGGGTTATAGCTTTCATAAGAAAGCTATAAATTGGTTTCATAGTACGACTGAGTACATTGGATATTTTTTCTTCCATTCTTGAGATACTATGCTAAGAAGAATATATTCCAGGGTACCCATCGACCCATGAATGGATCAATAAATTGTGGTATATGTACACCAGGGAATATTATGCAGCCTTAAAGAAAGATGGAGACTTTACCTCTTACATGGTTACATGGATGGAGCTGGAATATATGTATTTTCTTAATTTCTATAAACATTTGTACCTTATCTACAGATCTGGAGAAGACTTTAATATTAATGAAAAAAGTCTATTATGGGTAATGGAATGAAGAATTATCTTTGAAAAACTTTAAAAATGAAAAACACAATTATTAGATAAATATTGCTTGTATAGTCTTTTAAGTATACCCCTTACTGACCCAAGGTTACAGTTAACGTTAAATAATTACTCTTTATTCAGGTAAAGATTGCAAGGACTAACGGTGATTTGCTGGTACAGTCTCCCTGGGAGAGTTTTTAGCTATGTGGTAATTTTTTAGCCTCTGGATACTGTGATTGCCTGATGTGATGAAATGATGTGGACCACAAGTAGAGGAGTGGGTCTTTGTGAGTGCGTATGAGGGCAAAATATATGGTGGATGTATACATTTCTAGCCTCGAAGCACAAACCTAATGGATGTATTTGAGGAATACAGAGACAAGGCCATTGCCCCCAAAGTATTGCCCCAGGGCCAGCTTGTCTAAAATGATGCCATTAGAGCCATCTCTTTTGGATCAAAAGTGTGTCCCTCTTAAAATGGACACACTCCCAAGAAAAGGAATATTACCGTATTTATTGCCATTATTGCCCATTCATGGCCTAGAGGGAATCTAGCTTTGTGCATCCCTATCAGTGGGACGTCCACGGGAGTACGAGGCAGGTGAGCTCTACATGGTAAAGGGAAAGAAAGTTCCAGAGCCTGAGGAATATATGGGGGAGGTTTTACTAGGTGAAGTGCTGCAGATGTGGGGAGAAATCTGAATAGACATGGAAGCGCTAACGGGAGGAAGTGATTAGAGAGAGTCAGAAAGGGAAGAGAGATTAACTGAAGGTTAGTTACCCGGGAGGACAGATAGCATGCACTTCTTTCACAATTTTGCTTAGTATTTGTCCTCATTTTGTATATACCATCCTTCATGGAGGAATCTAAGCAAAATGGTTATTTGAATTCCTGAAACAAATAAATAAGCTGAGAGGTCACTCTGTGCCTGGTGCCATAATTGGGATAGACGATTGAGGCTTTAAACCATTATTAAACATTATATTTTGACCTTGCCCTGAGAATTGTTTGCACCTACTGGTAGCTGCTAGTAGCATTACTTGAAATCTTACAGTTGTGGCTTTTGTCTCTCTCAGGACCCCGCTGATGGATAACTGGTATTCTTTGTCATATCTGTACTTCAGCACCGTTGGAACTTTGGTGACAATATTCGTGGGGATACTTATCAGTTTACTAACAGGTAACGATCTAAACATTAATAGTGTTGAATTTACCTCAGTGGCAGTTCTTTGCTGTACCTGTTTTATAGCTATTTAGGTAATTTTGCTACGATCCTGTTAACAACACATTTAGTTATTTCTTCCACCTTACTCACGGGAAATTTGAGGGTCTAGACTTGAAAGCAGAAGCTCCATCTCTATTTCAATCTTGGTTCCTCCATTCAGTATGAACTTGGGCACTTTGAGCCTTAGCTTTCTGACAGTGAAGAGGCTTTTGAAACTTTGCATATCTGACAAGAATTTCTTTCAAATCTTATGATTGATAATTTGTCTGAGTAGAGAATACGAGGGTGAAAATAACTTCTTTCTTTTCTGGGAGGATGTCTTAATTTTCTCTTCACTTACTACTGTGTTGCTGTTAAATGGCACTGCTGTGCCACCAGCTGACCCTGTTCCTGTGACCCATTTTCACAATGAATGCCTTGGCCTAGGCCTTCAGTAGGGTCCTTTTAATCTGAAGATCCCTGGGCATTTTCTTGTATTATTTATTTTGTTATTTCCTGCCATTTTCTGCTTTTTTCTTTCTGGAAACTCTGGTTGGTCCACGGTTTGAGTGGTAGTTAGTTTCTTTACTTTGCTTGTCTTTTTTCTCTCCAATTTCCCATCTCTGGATCTTTCAGGTCTGCCCTACAGGGTACTTTTTGCACTTACTTTTCTAGTCATTCTAAAGGCGTACTCTGATCCAGCTTTGAGACTGGTCTGTAGAGGAACAGGGGCAGGTGGATGGCCGTTACAGGTGAGAGATCTCAGAGTTCAGACAGGGGTAGTTGTGCAGAGCTGGTGAAAGGTACTGGGCTTCCCAATTCTCTGCACCCCTTTCACACTCATAGCAGCCACACAAGGGGCTGCCCTCTTAGTTAGTGTGTTATAACTAATCAGAAATCATACGCTTTGCCCATCTTTAGTGGACATCTTTGCTTTATGTTGCAAAGCTACCAGCAGTGTGTTGCTTTATAGAACCCTGCGATCAATGGTTTTCTGGTACCTGGATAGCACCATCTTTCAGACTTTTGCGACACTTGTATTTATAAAGTTTATAACAATTGTTTAATGTATTCTCTTTCTTTTCCAAAAGGACTTTTTTCTAATAAATAAAATTACCAGCACAGTAGGTTTATTCTTTAGTCTGTTTTGATATAAGACAGCTTTTACACCTTTCTCCTCAGCTACCCAGTCGTTCATATCTGGAATACACTCAGTGTGTCTCTTTGTACTATTTGACCTTTGGTCCTTACTCAACTCATGTTTTAAAGAAAGTGGGATGTCAGAGAACTCCTTAAGTTCTTTTTCTCCTTAAATGCATTGATGCTGATAACCGTACACACTTGAATCTTTTGTTTTAAAAACGAGTACCCTACCCAGGTGAATGCCATCCATAAAAAAACACTTCAACTTCACTAATTGCATAAAGGATTTATTTCTACTCCCTAGCAACAGTGGGCACAGTGAAAAAAATCCTAGAAACATACAATTATGATATTCCTTGAGAAATACATTTAAAAACCTGCTATACTATGCTAGAAATCCTATAGGAATTCAGGCCACACAGACTTAGTTGGCATTTCAGCCCCACCTGATTTTTAGCTATGCACCAAGGACTCTTCATCAGTAAAATGGGGATAAATATTTTCCTAAGTAGAGCATGATCTGAGAGTCTCCTGATTGTTTGGTACATAGCAGTCTCTGGCACATAATAGACGCTCAATTATGTTGAATGGATTTATTTTAAAGTTGATTCTATCTTCAGAATAGCAGAGGTTCCTCTAGGTATGAGGGCTGTCCAGAAAGTATCCAAGTCATGTAATATGAAAAATAGTATTAACAATGGCTGGGTACTTCCCGGACAGCCCTCGTGTATAAAAGACTCATATTTATCACAGTGAGAAGCTTTTAGGATCGGACAGAGGCTGACTGAGGAAAGGGTTTGGTGGGCTGAGTCTTCAACACTGCTTAAAAGTTTCTCTTTGTGTTTCATGAGTGCATCAAGTTGAATGTGCATCAAGTTGAAATTAAAGGCCTGTAGGATGGAAAGTCACCGTGTAGTTACTGGTATATTTTTAACATTGGAATTAATGTGTTTATATATATATATATATATATATTTTTTTTTTTTTTCAGGAGGAAGAAAACAGAACGTAGACCACAGATTCCTACTAACCAAAGAGGACTTTTTATCCAACTTTGATATTTTTAAGAAAGTGAGTTAGTTGACTTTCATTTACTTTAAATTAGGAGACGGCTTTATTAGCTGGATAGAATGCTGGTTCTCAGCCTCTTTCTTGGACAGTGATATATGGGCAGGTCTAAATCCCATCCCCTGGCGATATCTCTTTGTCCTCTGATGGGCTATACCTGTTGTATATCTCTCTCCCTCCATAGATTGCAAAGCTGGTTTAGAGAAGTAAACACATTAGTAACAATTATTTAGAAGTAAATGAATGAACAGTTTATTTTTTTCTAATCATCCTGTTAACATTGTCTTTTAGGAGAAGGCTGTTTTAAGCTACAAATCTCATCCAATGGAAGATGGCGGAACTGATAACCCTGCTTTCAACCACATTGAATTGAACTTCACTGATCAAAGTGGCAAGATCAATGGCACTCGTTTGTGAAGCAGCGCTGATACTAACTGATCTTAAATAGCATCTCAATTTTTTTCTGTTTTGAGGCAGAGTCTCACTATCTCACCCTTGGGTAGAGTGCCGTGGCATCACAGCTCGCAACAACCTCAACTCTTGGGCTTAAGCAATTCTTTTGCCTCAGCCTCCCAAATAGCTGGGACTATAGGCTCATGCCACAATTTCTGGCTATTTTTTCTTATTGTTGTTGTTGCAGTTGTCATTGTTGTTTAGTTGGTCCCAGCTGGGTTCTAACCTGCCAACCTGGGTATATGTGGCTGGTGTCATAACCACTGTGCTACGGGCACCACCCAGCATCTCAATTTTATGTATTTTCTAAGATAATTGGATCAGGCTTAGATTTTTTTTTCTTGGTCTATTGTGTTTTGGGGCATTCATTTTTGTTAAAACAAAGCCCTGGCTTTCTTCTCTTTTTATACTTAGTCATTAATGTTTCTGTGGCTCTAAGAGTTTGTGCACAAACATTTCTCTCTCTTTTGTTGCAGTGAAGCCACAGTCGTGAAAGTTATGGTGAAGCATGTGCTGAAAGGCTAACGTTAACACACATCCACACCTGTTCATGATGGTCAAAGGTGTGTTCTTAAATTGGGGCATTATTGAAAAATATTTTCAATGCTTTTGATGCATTAGCATGTTAGTTTGAGAGTTTGCCAAAATCATAATTATAATATATTAGAAAGAGCTATTTTCTCTCCTACCACATGCTCTGTTGTTAGGGAGCAATAAGGTGACAAGTCTTGTTTAGATCTTTGTTTCTCATCCCCCTGTTGGCCTGGAGGAATATTGGCCTTGGAACTGACTCTGGCTCAGGAAGGGGATAATCACAAGTATCCTATCTGGAAAGAACCTGGGCACAATGATGGAGGTCTTTTTGGTGCTACCTAGCTGTTCTTGTGCCTTTCATTTTATTTTCTAGAGTTTCTGGCCTTACACTGCCTATATTCCCCTTCTTAGACCATGGTTGTTATATACATTCCCAGTTTCCAACCCACCGACTTTGGTTTTGCCATGCACCTTACTCGTGCCTGCCTTGCTAATTGTCTGTTTGTTGCTCTGGGCTTGGATAGGTCCCAAGACACCCAGTGTGGATTATGCCACTCCCAATCCTGATTCATCAAGTCCCAGCCTATAAATTATAAACTCCCATGAGCTGGGTACTAGTGTAAACTTGATCTAGGTACTTACGAATTTGCTAATTCAGAACATTTTGTTATTAAAAATACTAAGTCCTGGCTGGATGTAGTGGCTCATGCCTATAATCCTATCACTCCTGGAGGCCAAGGTGGGAGGATTGCTTGAGCTCAGGAGTTTAAGCCTCAACAGCCTGAGCAACATCAAGACCCCATCTCTACTAAAAGTAGAGAAACTAGTCAAGCATTGTGGTGAGTGCCTGTAGTCTCAGCTACTGGGGAGGCTGAGACAAGAGGATCATCTGAGCCCAAGGGTTGGAGGTTGCTGTGAGCTATGAAGCCACAACACTCTATTCAAAGTGACAGAGACTCTGTCTCAAAAAAAGAAAAAGTTTAAGTTCCATGGAGTTAGATGACTATATTAAGTGCTATTAAATCGAACTTTTGAATGCTAACTAATTTGCAATCAATTAAATTTAAAAGTGTGATTGCTTAGAAAATTTGAAATTCTAGTATATTTATCCAGTTAAAGAGCTTAACGACCCAGGCAAGCAGTGGTTTTTAAAAATATTCAACACTCATTAAATATATGCTTTGTGCTGTGTCTTAAAATTTCAAGTAACAAAGTTGCTTAGCTATTTATTTTGTTATGTTTATAGCTAAGAGTTTGGTGATAGGATTTCATCAATAACTTATTTTTTCTACAGTTCCCACATTAGATACTTTGAAAAAGTGTTTTTAAGAAACTTCTCAATGTTTCTAAAAAAGATAAGAAAAATATTTAGATACATGCAAATGTTTTATAATTAAATAATTTTATGCTTATTTTCTGATAACAAATTATTTAAGTCAACGTGCTCTGCCCATTTAGAGGCTGCTACCTGACAACATTAAGAAATAAAAACAATTGGTATGGCTCAGGCGCCTGTAGCTCAGAGGCTAGGGCGCCAGCCACATGCGCTGGGGCTGGCGGGTTCGAACCCAGCCCGGGCCTGCCAAACAACAATAAGAACTACAACAACCACACACACACACAAATAGCTGTGCGCATGGCGGGTGCCTGTAGACCTAGCTACTTGGGAGGCTGAGGCAAGAGAATTGCTTAAGCCTAAGAGTCTGAGGTTGCTGTAAGCAGTGACGCCACAGCACTCTACTGAGCGCAACATAGTGAGACTGTCTCAAAAACCAAAACAGAACGAAAAAACAATTGGTGTGTTCCCACCTAGTGGGGACAATGTAAGGGTTTATGGCACACCCCCTGGGTGCAGGGCACAACTGCAACTGGGACTTTACCTAACAAATGCAAACATTGTAACCTAATTGTTTATACTCTCTCTCACATTAACCTGAAATTTAAAAAAATAAAAATAAATAGATAAAAACAATATGTGACATTTTAAAGCAAAGAGATTTATATACAGGTAACATTTAGATGAACTATATATTTATATATTTCTTATGTGAATAGATGTTATTTTTTAAATCACTCTATTTGTGATTCTTTCTACAGTGTTCTAATGAGTAGAAAGATATAATCTTGTTCGTTTTATGCACATGTGATTTGAACTATTGCTATTTATTTAATAATTCTAAACGCCCATGTGTGTCAAATGCTTACATTTTGGAAACCAAAATCATGTTATTTAACTTTTTCTCTTATCTGGCTGCTGAGGGGTTATGCAATATATTTTTAATAAGAAATACGATGCTTTCATTCTTGTTCATTTTCCTTTGGATAAAATGTATTTTGTAACATTGAGAACTATAAATATTTTACCTGTAGAAATGCATAAAAGTGTCAGATAGATTGCTTAAGAAAGCAATCTTATTTTTTTTTTCTCTTATTCTTTTCCATGTGTAGCAATAAACTTGCAGCAATTTTTTTTTTTTTTTTTTTTTGTAGTTTTTGGCCGGGGCTGGGTTTGAACCCACCACCTCTGGCATATGGGGCTGGCACCCTACTCCTTTGAGTCACAGGTGCTGCCCTAAACTTGTAGCATTTTAACAGTTCCTATCAGGCTTCTACCAGAATACGTCTTACTGCTTCTCAAAGCTGCTTTAGTCAGAAGGAAAGCTATCTTATTATTAATTAAAAAGTATGTACCTTAATTTTGAAATTTTTGGATAAAACCAGACGGGGTCGATATTAACATAATATAACATAAATTAAATAATCTGCTACTCTGAGTTATTTTGAATCACAAAAGCAAAATGGAAAAAAACCCACAAGTTGTCCATCAGCGTCTGTTTTGTTGCTGACAGGTTGGGTACGTTTGAATCTATTCTTAATCTCCTCTGCTGAGAGTGTGTAGCACTAACCCCCTCCCCACCTCACAGGAGTGAGTAGAACAGAGCAGGCGGACCTCCGGCAGAATGGCACTTCAGTAACTCAATAGTCTTACTTACTCTTTCACTATGATCCGGAATCCAAGTTTGCGGCAAAGGTTATTTGTCTGCTTAATGAAAAATTTGTTAATTTGTAATATCCTCGTTTAGAGATAGTGCCTTCACTAAAAAGTGTGTCATAGGAACATTAAACTATATTTAAGAATCAGCAGGATTATTCCAACAGAGGGAATGTAGATTTCCAAGGAAGCTATGGATAAGTCATATTCACTCCATAGAGATGTGACGTTTGCAAGTGAGACGTAGAACATGTAAAATTGATTTTTTTTTGTTTTTGACGTCACACAGCCTGGGTGCGTTTCTTTAGGGCAAGAGCCTGACACATCTATCTGAACGTTCTCATCTGCAGGCAAAATGAAAATACCAGTGGCGCAGGGAGTGTATGGTGCAGAATGACTGTGTATTTTCACAGAATTTTGCAATATGAAGGATTATAGAATTGTGAATTGATTATTGAATTGACAAAGATTATTGACAAATCTTAGAACAGTTTACCTCGTCCACATTGTTCCTAATGTCAATACACATTAATACAGTCATCAATATTAAATATATGAGTATAAAGATTTCAACATTTTGTTTTATTTATGACAAGCACAGAAAGTTGTTTTATTTTTTAAACAACTGGACGTTCATGATACAGAGACATGAGTCGATTCTTACAGGAAATTCTGAATTTTCCCATAAAGATTGAGCATCACAGGGTAAAATATGGTTGCAAATCTGATTTTCAAGTAGCCAATTAAACTCTTTACAAATGTCTTCACAGTTATCTGGTTTGGAGGGGAAAATGTCAAATTGGATGTAATTAACCATATTGGCCTTTATGGAAAGATATTTCTACCCAGAAAGGACTCTTCTTATTTTTTGAGTTTTTTTTTTTCAAATTAATATGAAGATACAATTTTAAGGTGACATTGTTCTCACTTCCAGAGTAAGTTCCATTTGCAGAGGAGTCCCTCACCCAGGGGGTGTGTTATACACCCTCACAATGTGCACATTAGGTGAGATCCCACCTCAAGCCCTCCCTTCTCTGTCAAATGTCCCCCTCCCTTCCCCTCCCACTTCCCTCTGCCCCCAAACTGGACTATATTGGCATTTATTGTTCTTATGAGCACGTAATTTTTTAGATATTGATTTCATATTAGTATGGAGTACATTGGATGTTTCTTTTTCCATTCTTGTGATACTTTACTAAGAAGAATGTATTTCACCTCCATCCAGGTAAATGTAAAAGATGTAATATCTCCATTTTTTTAATGGCTGAATAGTATTCTATGGTATACATATTCCACAGTTTGTTGATCCACTCATGGGTTGATGGGCACTTATGTTGCTTCCATAACTTGGCCATTATGAATTGAGCCGCAATAAACATTCTAGTGCAAATGTCTTTGTGGTGAAATGATTTTCGTTCTTCTGGGTAGATACCTAGTAATGGGATTGCAGGGTCAAATGGGAGGTCTA